CAATGTAACAAGGGCCGCAGAAAGTCAGACCAAAGATCTGTGATCTTAGCAGAATAGAACAAGTATAGACTGATACTTGTGACTTGCACTGTAAGACAAGCAAATGCCTTGGAGTATAGAAATGTTTAATGGATTTCTTGTAAAAATTGGCCATATCCCTTGAACCCATGTAAACGCTTAGCATCCGTGGGTCACAGCAGTCACGTGCCTTAACTAGGCATTGTGTGTAAACTCTGGAGCTAGCTTCACTATGTGAAGAACCGCTGCCTTTATTTTGTGTGTGCTTGTGGGCAGGAGGAGTGAAATTTGCTTCCTGCTAGCTTGTGATGCCCCCATCTTCTGTATGTACAGAGAACATGGGTGATCGATATCTGTTCAACTTCTATGATACTAGACATCATCTTTTCCCTCATCTCTTTTTCACATGAAAAAGGTTTTTTCTTAGTCCTTTTCTACAGAAACTGTTCCAAACATTTGGCAATCCCTGTTTCTCTTGGCTGAAACTGTTTTTATTCTACTGTGACCTTTTTAAGGTGGGCAAAAACAAAATTTTGTGTAGCATCCAAGATGCAAATGAACCTTCCGTTTATAAGATAGCAAGGCTACCTTTGAGTTTTGATTAGATTGGTGATGTTTTTTGTTGCCTTTCCTAGGCCTTTTCTAAAAGGTTAAACAGGGAAGTTGCTGTTCAACGCTGATGAGCATTGAAGTGATGTTTTCATAGGATTGTGTGCAGTACCAAGGCCTGATTTCCCCTTCTGCCTCTTCATTACTTCATGTTTATCTGCTGTGAATTGTACTTGCTACTTGGTTGCATAGTGGCTGCAAAGGAATCACAGGCTGGTTGAGTTTGAAAGGACCTCCACAGGTCACCTGGTCCAACACCCCTTTTGTGTTCAAAGAACACAAAAATATACTCCACGTTATAAAGTATGACCTCGCTTTAAAAAGCTGTTTTAACAGTCCTTCATTAAGTCTTATTAATCAAGTGTCCCCTAGTTCTTTTCTTACGCTTCCCACTATACCTCCTGTTATTTTCCTTAACGTGGGAATTCCTGCTCTGGCAATTTCTGTAGGACACTTCTTAAACAGAAGTCTAGGCATATTAGTCACGTTTCAAGTCATCTGTTTCAATTCAGACAACTTCAAGAGTTAAAAGTGAAAACATAGCTTATCCATGAGCTCCTTGAGAACTCCTTAGTGAAATGCTGCCTGAGCCTTTTGACTTCTGTTTCTGTGTCAAAAGTTGTTCTGTATCGTTTCAGTTGGAGATGGATTCTTTGACATCCGTGCCAAGAAAAACCTTTCTTCCATAGGAGCCCTTCAATGTACACAGAGCGGAGAAAGAGCAGCTATTCTGCAAGTTGGTACTCAGGCTGGTTTTGGCTTCCCATACTGTTTGTACATTCCCATGTTGTTTTGCAATCTTTTCTCTTTTCAGTAGTTATATAATAAAACTTTTTCAAAGGATGCCTCCCTGTTTTCAGTAACCTCCTTACGCCCTGAGATTTAGCCGTCCTTGTATTCTTTTGCTCTTCGTTTTTTTGATACAAGTCGTAGAGTTGTTGGATCCCCGAACTCTGGGATGGCCACCGTGCTGAGCTCTGGGTTGCCTACCTCCGGAGGGGCGGGAGGTGGCCATCCTGATCCTCTGGGGTCTGGCCTTGGGCGGCGTGGGGGCCACCATCACAGGGCCAGGGAGTCCAGCAATGGGTGGCACAGGGGCTGGCTGTCCTGTGGTCCGTCCTCGGGTGGATGGGGGCGCAGCATTCCCAGGGCCCGGGGGTCCAACCTCCGGTGGCCAGCAGTTCCAAGCCCTGAGGGTGTAAGTCTCAGGCGGCAAGGGGGCAGGCTGTCCCTTGACCCGGGGCGGATGTTCTCAGGCTCATGGGGCCCGGCTATCCCGGGAGCCGGCCTCTGGAGACACAGGGACTGGCTGTCCCGTGTACCGGGGGTCCGAACTCGGGTGGTGTGGGGGCTGGCTGTGTTGCAAAGCAGGAGGCTGTCATCCGCCGGCTTGGGGATTGGCTGTCCCGAGCCCCTGGACTTTGGTCTTGGGCGACGCGTGTGCTAGCCACACCGGGTTCCGCGGCCGACCTCGAGCGGCTCGCAGAAGGTGGTCCCATGTGTGGGAGTTCGGCCTTGGGCGGCGTGGGGTCTGGCTGTCCCTAGCACCTAGGCTCCGGTCTTGATCGATGCGTGTGCTAGCCGCATTGGGGTCCAGGTCTAACTTCGGGCGGTTTGGGGACGGCGATCCCAGGGCCCGGGTGTCCGGCTATGGACTGCACGGGGGCTGGCTGTCCCATGTCCTGGGGGTCTGTCCTCAGGCACCGTGGGTGCCGGCCGTAACATGAAGTGGGAGGCTGTTGTCCGCCAGTTCAAGGACTGGCTGTCCCAGAGACTGGGGTTCGGTCCTATGCGGAGCGGCGGCCTGCCATTCCCAGCTCCTGGTTGCCGCCATCCAGAGGTGCGAGATCCGACCATCCCAATCCCCTGGGCTCCGAGGGTCTTGGATGACGCGTGTGCTAGCCGCACTGGGATCCGGGGCTGAACTTGAGCATCACTGGACGGCAGTCCTGAAACTGGGAGTTCAGCCTTGGGTGGCGCCAGGTCCAGCTGTCCCTAGCCCCTGGGCTCCGGTCTTGGGGGATGCGTGTGCTAGTCGCACCGGGGTCCGGGTCCAACCTCGGGCAGCTTGGGGACGGTGATCCTGGCGCCCGGGTGTCCGGCCACGACAGCGTGGGTGCCAGCCGTACTCTGAAGCAGGAGGCTGTCGTCTGCCGACTTGGGGACTGGCTGTCCCAGAGACCAGCATTTTGGTCCCGTGCGGAGTGGTGGCTGGCCGTTCTGAGCTCCCAGTAGCCTCCATCCAGAGGTGTGGGATCTGACCGTCCTGAGCCCCTGTGCTTCAGTCTAGGGCGACGCGTGTGCTAGCCACACCGGGGTCCAGGGCCGAAACAGAGAGGCACAAGGACGGTGGTCCTGTGTCCGGGAGTTCAGCCGAGAGCAGCACAGGATCCAACAGTCTCGAGCCCCTGGACTCCGGTGCTGGGTGACGCGTGTGCTAGCTGCACCAGGGTCTGAGGCCAACTTCGGGTGGTTCGGGTACGGCGATCCTGGGGCCAGTGTGTTCGGAAAAGACCCCCATGTCCCAGGGGTCCAAGTTTGGGTGCCAAGTTTGCAGGCTATGCCGTGAAGTGGGAGGCTGTCTTCCGCCGGCTCGGGGACTGGCTGTTCCGGAGACTGGCGATTCGGTTCTGTGCAGAGCAGCGGCCAGCTGTCCCTAGCCTCTGGTATCCGGTCTTGGGCAAAGCATGTGCAAGCTGCACCAGGGTCCGCGGCTGACTTCTGGCGGTTCGGGGATGGCTATCCCGGGACATGGGTGTCCAGAAACGGGCTGTGCGGGGGCCGACTGTCCCGTATCCCGGGGGTCCATCCTCGGGCACCGTGGGTGCCGGCCGTGTCATGAAGTGGGAGGCTGGCCTCTGCCGGCTCAGGGACTGGCCATCCCGGAGACTGGCGGTTCTGTCCCGTGTGGAGTGGCGGCCGACCATCCCGAGCCCCTGGGCTCCGGTCCTGGGTGATGCATGTGCTAGCCACACCGGAGTCTGGGTCCAACCTCGGGTGGCTCTGGGATGGCGAACCCAGGACCAGGGTGTCCAGCCACGGGTGGCGTGGGGCCGGTTGTGGCGGGAATGGGGAGTCTGTGTTCCGCTTCCTCGGGAACTGGCCGTCAGGGAGACCTGTGGTTCTGTCCCATGCGGAGTGGCGGCCGGCCATCATGCGCCCCTGTGCTCCGGTCCTGGGTGACATGTGTACTAGCAGCACGGGCCTCCGGGTCTGACCTCGAGCAGCTCTGGGACGGCGATCCCAGGACACGAGTGTCCGGCCACGGGTGGCATGGGTGCCGGCCATGCTGTGAAGTGGGAGGCTGTTGAGCGTCCTAATGTTTTGTGTTAGGGCTTTGAGCATCGTAATGTTTTGGGTTGGGTTTGGGTTTTGAGCGTCTTAATTTCTGGGTTTGGGTTTTGAGCGTCCTAAGATTTTGGGTTAGGGGTTTTAGACATAGGTCTTCAGAGGTTTAGTGTAGTAAATAGTTTGGGTTAGGTCTGTAGTGGTTTCGAGGTTCTTTAGGGTTAGGGCTTGAGGCTTTTTTGTGTAAGGGCGGTAAGGGCTAGGGTTACAGTGAGTGCTGTTAAATATAGTTGTCGAAAACTCGGCCTCTCATTGGCCGTGCTGGCTGTCCGGAGAATGCTGGTAGGTTTAGTTTTCCGGCACAAGGCTTCCGGGAGGCCATGTTGGGTGCCCAGAGCATGCCGGGAAACGTAGTTCTCAGGAACTGGGGTTAGAGTTAGAGGCTGGGGCTAGGGTTAGGGTTTAGGGTGAGGGTTGGGGTTAGGGTTAGGGCTTAGGGTTAGGTTCTTAGGGTTTTATTTTTGGTCAGTTATTTACAGGTTAGGGTTAGGTTTAGGTTTAGGTTTATGGGCACTAAATAATGCGCCTGGGCACATTTAGAGCGCGGCACCACCTGGGCACATTTCTCAAGTGGAGCTAGGTGAGGTAAAGGAGTTGGGTACAGAGAGGTATTGCACAACGTTATGTTGCATCAGTAGCAGTGAGTGTTGTGGAGGAGGTGGGTATTAGGGCTGGCACACTAGCGAATGCTGGTTCTCTGTGTTTGAGGATGATGGTGAGCCTGTTTAAATTAATTCCAGTTGAAGAAGCTTCAGATACTTGCTTGCTGATATTGTCAGTTCAATATTCAAAGCTACAGCAAAAGCACAGGGATTTTTGCTTCTAGAAACACTCCAGGTCTCTTGTCTGCTCTCTGCATGCTTTTGAGCTAAAGCAGATTTAAAAAAAGAAACAAAAAAGAAAGAAGAAATAAAACACAGCTGCTGCTGTGCCTGCCCTCTTCCTACTTTCTTGTGCTTTGTCCCTCCCCTTTCCCAGGTGATTGGGTTTGGGTGCTGGGCAGGGCCAAAAGGTATATGAGCCCCAGGCATGCCATCAGAGAGCTCCTTCTGCCTGGGCTGCTCTTTGGGGTAAGTGCTTTGATTTTCCTTCAGTCAGTTGCAGGGTTCTCCAGGCATGCTGGAGTCTATGGTTTTCTGGATTTCTAAGTGCTTGCGATTCACTTAATAGAAGGATATTTAGTAGAGGCTGCTGGCTCGCTGTTTTTTGGGATGGTGGGACACTCTTCTGTTTTTGAGCTATACTAGAATCTAAAGATGTATAAAACCACTTGTGTAGTTCTCCAGAGGACTAAAACCAGCTTGATTGCATGCTACATGTGGCTTAACAGCATAGATGCAGGATTACCAAGAAACTGAGCAGGGTTGTATCAGTCACCTCTTTCATCTGCCAAGGGTGAGTCTGTGATTACCCCTGCTGGGGCTGCTGTGTGTGCATGTCTTTTTGGCATTCATGGAGCTCAGTTGCTTTTTTTGTGTGTGTATGTTCTAACTTTTTGTTTTTTTTTTTTGAGGGGCGAATAGTGTGTGTGCTGAGCGTGGCAAATAGTGTGTGTGCTGAGCGGGTGGGAGGAGGTGGGGAGCTGCTCAGGACTGGTAGGTTCTGTTTCTGGGAGTGTGTGGCGTCCTTCCTGTGCGATGCGACTGATCGTTGGGCAGGAATGTTTCAGCTCCTGTGTCTTGAGCAATGTAGCTTGTGTAGTGTGTGTTGTTTGGCCTGGGCAGAGTTTGCTGTGGCGCTGTGAGCGAAGAATCTCAGTTAGAGCTGGTGATCAGCTGAAGTAATGGAGCTGGGAAGAGAGAGGTATTGCAGCAGGTACGCTGTGGCTGTGAGGTGCCTGAGAGTGTGCTTTTCTCTTGTCTTTGCAGGTACTTTGTGCAGTCGTAGACAGGGAAGGGAAATGCTCATGTCACAAAGCACTGAGGGAAGGTTAGTGTTGTCAGCGTGGTCATCCCTTATCCGAAGCGAAGGGAAGACACTCAGGTGTTTCCCTCTGGGGAACGAGGTGAGGCTGTTTGGGATAGAGGAGCAGTGTGGCAGGTGGGTGCTTGCAAGCACAGTGGTCATTTTGTCCTTTTGTGTTCCCAGGTGGCATGGGTGATGCTGGCTGCTCCTTTCAAGCTTGGACCTAATTTGCAGGTACAGAGGCAAGTGGCCTGCTGTTTTGAAAGGTTAAAACTAAAGATGGGGTCGCTTATGTTGTTGAGGGGTGGGTGCTACTGCTGGCAGCTGAATGTTTATTTTCTGCCTGTGTGTTCTTTGTTCAGGCTGAAATGCACTGCGCAGTGCAGGATATCTCGACCCAAGCTGCCTCTGGAGTGACTCTGGTGTGTGATAAGCAGAGATAGCTGTTAATTTTTGAGGTGTGGTTGTCACTGCAGTTATTTTCCTACATCCAATAGAGTAAAATTCCAGTTTACCTTTTAGAGGTGCTATAAGTGGGTGAAGAGAAAAGATGGAAGCATCTGCCACATGGGGCAGGCAAGCGGCTGAGGTACAGGAGGGGATGAGAGTATGTGATTTTTCCTAAAATGGAATTGATTTTGTTGGTGTATAATCTGTTCTGCTCCTAGGTTTTTCTTGCAATGTAAAGAAAAGTTTGAGCTAATTCCAGTTAAGAAAGTTCCATTTCTTTGCTTGGTTGTATTGTCCTTTTAATATTCAAAGCCGCAGCAAAAGCATGGGGATTGTTGCTTCTAGAAACACCCCAGTTCTCTTGTTTGCACTCTGTATGCTGTTGAGCAAAAGCAGATTATTAATAATAAAAAAATGGAACACACTAAAAACAACAAACAAACATCATTGGGTGATGTGTTGTGAATGCAATAATCATTTAATCCCTTTGTTTTCCCAGGTGGTGTGGATGATGCTGGCTGTACTGTTGGAGCTTGGACTCAGAGAGGAACAGGTGAGCACAATCATATGTTGCATCAATAGTAATCAGCATTGTGGAGAAGGTGGGCATTGGGGCTGGCATGCTACTGAATGCTGATACTCTGTTTTTGCAGCTGATGATGAGCCTGGCAATTGACTAAGATGACAATCAGTGCCTGTGCATTTCTTGAGGTGGAGGGAATTCACCATCCAGCAATCTGAGAGCTAAACTGGGGAGCACCTGATATTTGCATATCTGGGGTGGCTAATGGGAGCTGGGAGCCAGAGCAACATGGAGCCAGCTGGCTGAAGATACTTGGTGCCACTGTGAGGGTGGTCCAGGCTGGGTCATGTTCAGGCTGCTTGTGGCTGGGTCAGCAGGCTAACAGAAGAAGTGGGATTATTTTGTAGCGTGAGTGTGCGCGCCAGGCAGGACAGTTTCCTTCTGTTTGTCTGTCCTGTAGTGTTGCTTCTGCAATGTTTGTTCTGTGCTTCTTAGGTCTTGATATCCTCCTAGCTTTTTACACTGGACTGACTAGACAAGCGACTTGGAAGCTGTCCTGAAGGGCCTCAATGCTTGTTTTGTCATCATGGCTCTGATCTGAGCATTTCTTGTCTTGCAGTTGCTGCTTGAAGTGCAGATCTCTTTCAGGTCTTGTGCATCACATTCGGTTTGAGATCGCATGTTTCCATCCTCACTCTTGCAGAAGTCATCTGGGCTGAGCACCAAGAGCAACAGCACAGGCAACACAGAACACAGATGACAAGCTGGGACTGCCCTGCCTGGCATGGCTTCATGCTGTACGTGACACAACTGCCTACACATCATCTCTCTGCCTGACCTGATGAATCCTGAAAGGCCCCATCTGCTGCAGTGACTTAAAAGCACAGACCCGCACCCTATGGGTGCATTCACAACCCCAACTCAAACATAGCACTTGCCCCCCAACTTAGCTTGGTAATGCTGGGAAGCATGTTCCATCCTCACCAAGGAACACAAAGGCTAGCCAGGACATTGCTTCAGGCACAAGGCTCCTCTTCACCTGCAGAAATAAAATCCCATCAAGCGCCAGCACACCAGCCAAATTTCTTTCAGTGAAACACCCTCCTCAGAAACAAAACAGTAGTCAACCGACCTGCTCCGCTATTGAAATCAGATAGACACCCTCCAGACAACTCCCCGCCTCCCCCTGCCAACCACTCCCCAACACACAGGATTTCCACCTCAACTTAATTCTCAGGGCTCAGAATCCACCATCAATGTGGACCACAGAGGCCAGCTAGGATGTTACCAGTACCTTCTTCGTCCCTGCAAAAGAGGAGTCACCCAGAGGTGCACCAAGAGACTACTACACCAAAAACAATACCTGTTTTCCAACTTTTCACCACTCACCTTCCCAACCCAGGCTGAGCACTTCCATTCAGTGTGCCAAGCCAAGGTCACGGGGCTTACACCAGGGAGAAAGAACAGACAAACGTGACAATCCACAAAACAGTCTATACCCACTCTTCTTTCCTCCCCTACTGCAACAGCCAAGAAGCTCCAGAGCCACATGCCCCAAGCCAGTACCACCACTTCGCTCACCTAACATCCCAAGGAGATACATCATGCTCCCAGCTCCTCTTGCGCTCTGAGCATCTCCAGCATTTCAGGAACTGGAACCGCTGACATCTGGCATTCCTCAGAAATGTGGCAGGAGACATACTCCGCTGTTGCAAGGCGCTTGCAAAGCCAGCCCAACATGAAACTGACTAACACAGTCCACCGAACAACTCAGGGTCCCCTCTGCTGTCCACTCACCCTCAAGCTTCATTTAAGTTTCCATGTCTATGCCCTGGGCTACAAGAAACAAAGAGACAAGGTCACATCCACAATGGACACGCAAACAGTAAAGCTCCTTGCAGAGGACTCAAACACAGAGACCAGAGCCAGATAAATAAAAAAAACACCCTGAATTCCACAAATGCCAAAAGGTCATGAATGCACAGCAGCCCCAACAGAGGTAGTCACAGACTTATCTTTCACAGACAAAAAAGGCAACCCTGCTCAGTCTATTTGGTCATACTGCACCTACAAGGTCAAGCCTCTTGTAGCATGTAAGCAAGCTGGTTTTAGTCCTCTAGAGAGTTACACAAGTGGGTTGATTCATCTAGAGATTCAAGTATAGCTCAAAAACAGAAGAGTGTCCCACCATCCCAAAAAACAGTGAGCCAGCAGCCTCTACTAAATATCCTTCTATTAAGTGAATCGCAAGCACTTAGAAATCTAGAAAACCATAGATTCCAGCATGCCTAGAGAACCCTGCAACTGACTGAAGGAAAATCAAAGCACTTACCCCAAAGAGCAGCCCAGGCAGAAAGAGCTATCTGATGGCATGCCTGGGGTTCATATACCTTTTGGTCCCACCCAGCACCCAAACCCAATCACCTGGGAAAGGGGAGGGACAAAGCACAAGAAAGTAGAAAGAGAAAGAGAGTAGCAGCAGCTGTGGTTTATTTACTTTTTTATAAGGCTTAGCTCAACAGCATGCAGAGTGCAGAGAAGAGACCTGGAGTGTTTCTAGAAGCAACAATCCCCATGCTTTTGGTGCAGCTTTGAATATTAAAGGGACAATACAACCAAGCAAGTAACTCTAAAAGACAAAGAGGGGATGCTCAGAGTAACAGTGAGACCTGCAACACAACAACTGCTACATCTGTTCCTCACTCACCTTGCCAGAGGCAGCTTTGGGTGTGACGTCCCAGGTTGTACACTGCATTTCAGCTTTATTAAATGAAAACAGTCACAAGATAATCATACAGGTACCAGCATTAGCATCATCCCTCAACAACACAAGGGACCCCATTTACAACATTATCGTTTCGAAACAGCGGACAACTTGCCTCAGCACCTCAGAAGTAGACCAAGCCAGTCACTGAGCTGCCGAATGAGAGCTTGACAATTCTGGAAGGCGTTCTTTCCTTTGGCTGCTTCCTCCTGAGGTTTATCTAAGGCTTGCAAAAAAAAAAAAAAAAAAAAAAAGAAAAACAGTCCACATCTGCAAGCTTTGACGATTCAACAACAGACCTCTCCTCCAGCACTATTCAAGCACTATGCGAGCACCTGCTCACAAGCAGCTCAACTCTCCCTCCCCCACCATCTGCCAAACACCACAGAGAAGGGCACTGTGCCAGTTGCCCTTCAGTACGTGCCCGGAGGCAGACCAGATGTCTTTGCCAAAACAGTCCAGACAATGTATTAGCACACCCATGGACTACCACGTTAGCTCTCATCACTAGCTGCCAGGCAGGACAGCTCCAGACCAAACACACACGCAGGCATGCTACAAACAAAACACAGAACACAAGGCACAAGAAAAAGTGACCCCCAGGGGAAAGCCCTATGGCAACAGCAAGTCATAACAGGTGCTCTGCAGCAGACCCAAGGAGAGACTCAAATGTCACGACATGCAACTGGAAGCAATTGCCAGAACTGGGATGATGGAGGCATAAAAAGCCTGCCTTCAAGACAAGAGACCAGAAGGATGGGGAGGGAAAACCCCATAAGAAGACACTTAGGAAATCAATTCCCAAGCAAGAGCTCCTGATGCAGCCCAGATGTCTTCTGCAAGAGTGAGGATGGAAACAGATGCGATCTCAAACCGAATGTGATGCACAAGACCTGAAAGAGATCTGCACTTCAAGCAGCGACTGCAAGACAAGAAATGCTCAGATCAGAGCCATGATGACAAAACAAGCATTGAGGCCCTTCAGGACAGCTTCCAAGTCGCTTGTCTAGTCAGTCCAGTGTAAAAAGCTAGGAGGATATCAAGACCCGAGAAGCACAGAACAAACATTGCAGAAGCAACACTTTTATTGATATGGGGCAATGTATTCAGTTCTAAATCAAGCATTAATGCCTTTATGGAATGATTATGTTAGGGTAAAAGGTGCAACCGAAAAGGCTTATTTTTGTGAACCTTTGAAGTACAAGTGAGGGAACAATGGGGCATACAGAGATTTTTATATATGCCTAACTCCCCATGGGCACTCTTAGGTAGAGATTTATTAGAACAATTAGGAGCAGAAATTGTTTTTGAAAAAGGGAAAATGGAATTAAGAATAGGAGAAGAGCAACTAATAAATGTATTAAGCTTGGCACTAATGCAAACTGAGCCTAAAAGTGAAATACCTTTAGAGATCACAGATCAAGTATATCCAGAAGTTTGGGCCTCCGAAGTCCCTGGAAGAGCTAAAAATGTGACCTTAAAAATTATTAAATTAAAGCCATTAACCCGTTGAAGTTAAGTAAAAAACCCGTTAAGGTTAAGTAATATCCTTTGAGGATAGAAGATAGGAAAAGGATTAAAGAGATAATTGATGCATTTTTGCAGTATGGGTTATTGATTGAATGCAAATCAGAATACAATACGCCCATATTACCAATTAAAAAGGCAGATGGAAAAAGCAATAGGCTAGTTCCGGATTTGATGGCCATAAATAAAATCACCGAGGATATACATCCAGCACTGGCAAACCCTTATACTTTGCAGACTAAACTATAGTCAAGTCTGGTTTACCGTGCTGGATTTAAAAGACGCCTTCTGGCCTTAGCCACAGAAAGACAAAACCTATTTGCCTTTGAATGGGAAAACCCCGACTCAGGCAAAAAGACGCAGCTTAAGTGGACACTACTACCTCAAGGATTCAAGAATAGCCCCACTATTTTTGGAAACCAATTAGCAAGGGAACTTGAAACTTGGATGCCTCCAGACACTGAAGGTGCTTTGTTACAATATGTAGATGATCTCTTAATAGCTACCGAGACTAAAGGGAGTTGTATTCAATGGACTATTGAATTTTCTTTTTGAATTTTTGAATATTGAATTTTATTGACTCTTAATTTTCTGGGTTTAAATGGATATCGAGTCTCTCGACAGAAAGTCCAGCTGGATCAATAAAGTGTGACCTATTTGGGATTTGAAATTTCGGGAGGACAACGAGAACTAGGAACTGAACGTAAGGAAGTCATTTGCCAGACTCCAGAACCTCAAACGGTAAAGGAGCTATGAGCCTTTTTAGGAATGACAGGTTGGTGTCGCCTTTGGATTTATAATTATGGACTAATGGTAAAGCCTCTATACGAATTGATAAAGATTAATCAGTCAAAGTTAGTCTGGATTGGAGAAGCACGAAAAGCCTTTAAACAACTTAAACAAGAATTGATGCAAGCTCCGGCTTTGCGATTACCGGATCTCTCAAAACCCTTTTGGTTGTTCTCTCATGAGAGACAAGGGATAGCTTTGGGAGTACTAGCACAAAGATTGTGTCCCTATAAACGAGCAGTAGGTTACTTCTCTAAACAATTAGATGAAGTAAGTAAAGGATGGCCCGGATGCCTTCGGGCTGTTGCAGCTGTTGTTATAAATATACAAGAAGCTCAGAAGTTTACAATGGGACAGAAAACAACAGTTAGTCTCCCATATGGTCTCAGCAGTTTTGAAACAAAAAGGAAACCATTGGCTTTCACCTCAGAGATTTTAAAATACCAAGCAATATTAGTAGAACAAGATGATGTGGAAATTGTGCTCACTAACATCGTAAATCCAGATTCTTTCCTTAGCGGAACTCTGGATGAACCCATAACCCATGATTGTATAGAAACAATGGAGACTGTGTATTCTAATCGACCCGATCTTAAGGAAGACTCTTACGAATCTTGGCATACTGATGGAAGCAGCTTTGTGAAACAAGAACAACGTAAGGCAGGGTATGCTGTTACAACCACTCAACAGGTAACCGAGTCCAAACCATTACCCCCAAAACGTCCACACAGAAAGCTGAGACAATTGCTCTTACGCGAGCACTGGAAGGAAAATAAACATTTGGACAGATTCTAAGTATGCGTTTGGCGTGGTACATGCTCATGGAGTGATTTGGAAAGAAAGTGGATTGCTGACCACTCAGGGAAAACAGATCAAACTTGCTGAAGAAATTTTAAAATTGTTAGAGGCTGTAAAACAGCCAGAACAGGTAGCTATCATGCATTGTTGGGGACACCAAAAGGGGAACGCCAATTTTGAAACTGGAAATCGATTGGCTGATCAGGAGGCTAAGCAGGCAGCTGAAATAACAGAGGTGAAGGCATTGTCTTTGATACCAGACACTAAAATCCAAATTATATCCAAATTATACAAAAGAAGACTTAAAGTTAATTGAAGATTTGAAAGGTAAAATGAAACCAGATGGATGGGTATATTTAAAAGATAACCGCATAATAATACCCTCTAATTTGACATGGCCCATAGTTCTTACAGAACACAATAAAACACACTGGGAGCTGACATATTGCATAAGAGCCTGAGTCTGACATTAGTGGGACAAAATTTATATACAGCGATAAAACAAGTAACTCAACAATGTAGCATTTGCTTACACAATAACCCCAATACCAAGAATAGAATAAAATTTGGAATAATCGGTAAAGGAAATTATCCGGGGAAACAGTGACAAATTGATTTTTCTGAACTCCCTAGAAAAGGGGGGTATTGTTATTTTCTGGTTCTGACTGACACGTTTTCAGGATGGCCTGAAGCCTTTCCTTGTCGAACAAACAAAGCAAGAGAGGTGGTTAAAGTCTTGTTAAATGAAATAATACCACGCTTTGGGATTCCAGTAGCAATGTCTTCTGATAGAGGTTCACATTTTTGTGCGCAAGTGGTACAACAGATAAGTAAGATTCTAAAGTTAGATTGGGAACTGCACACTCCTTATAGACCACAGGCAAGTGAACAGGTAGAAAAAATGAAACATTTAATTAAACAACAAATAGCTAAAATCGGACAAGAAGCTAATTTGTCATGGCCTCAATCCCTCCCTTTAGCATTACTTAGAATGAGAGTTAAACCTAGAATAAAAGGGAAATTTGTGTCCCTTCAAAATGTTATATGGAAGGCCCTATCAATTTCTATTTAGAGGAGAGTACCTAACGCATTTAGGATCAGAGTATTTATATGCTTATATAACTGAACTTCAGAAACAATTAAATAAAGTACATAAATTTGTTTTAGGGACCAGGGCTAGAGGGTTGGATCAACCAATCCACCCCTTTAAGCTCAGGGATTATATATATATACTTTTTCAGGACAACTCCTAGAGGAAAAATGGAAGGAAAGTGGACGGGACCATACCAGGTATTACTGACAACACACACGACCATTAAGATTAAGGAGCAAGCAGCTTGGATCCACTATTCAAGGGTGAAGAAGGCCCCGGCAAGCATATGGACCACCACCCCAATTGGACCAACAAAATTACTTTTTTTCAGATCCTAATGATTGCGGGGGTGGTGTTTTCGGATTCTGGGTTGGCAGCTTGGGATGAGAACTTACACCTGACCCTGATAAAAACAGTATCTCAAGTAATTAATAAGACGAGATGTTGGGTATGCACCCATCTGCCAGAGCACGGGAATAAGGGTGTATCGTTAAGCGGTATTCCCTTGCCTGCAAATGTATCTTGGACTAATTTGTGGGAAAACACATCTTGAGGTCGAAAATATGAAGAAGTTTTGGAACTAGAAGTGAGTAGCCCCGTGCCATTGGAATCATACTATGTACATGTACAAAGGTGTAACCTGCCTACGGGTATGGGAAAACAGGATTGTATAAATACGGATACTACTTATGTGGGAAATCAGACATCTTGTAATCGAACAATTGATATTAGTACGACTAGCGGTTGGGCAAATTCAACCAGCTGGCTGGTACCAGAAGGAAAAGGGTGGTATTGGCTATGCAATGATACAGCCCTTAAGGTCTTCCCCGAGAATTGGAAGGGAACTTGTACTCTGGAGCAGTAGTCCCCAATATGACAGTACATGATGTAGTGCCTCAAGGTTACTTGAGAAATCATATCCGGAGAATCAGACGAAAAATGAACAATCCGTTAAGAGAGAGACCCACCATTTTTCATAGTTTTGTTTGATGGCTTATCCCATGGTTAGGAGTGAGTGAATT